CCTGTTTGAAAGTCATTGAATTATACTAATAATCTTTAAGGTCTCTTTCACTTCTGAATTTAGGTTTCAAACCAATTAAGAGGTTAAGTAATGTCACACCCCATGGAGCTTCTGTTTGTTATTACATTGGAGTGTGTCAGCTTTTGTCCATCAGAGGACATGCTTCCTTTCCACAGCCAATTCTCTAGATTTTTTTTTTCTATTTGAACAGGTTTGTTTATTTTTATTTATTTATTTTTATTTATATTTTTTATTTTACTTCTCAATATACAATGTACTTGATTTTCATGCCCCTTTACCAGTTCCTCTCCCCCCTCCACCCCCATCATATCTGTTCACTTGACTTAAATAGTTCAAGGAATTTTTGTGGTCATTCTATCTTCTTCCCACCCACCCCCTTGATTTGTTTGTGTGTTTATTTATTTATTTATTTTTAGCTCCCACAAATAAGTGAGAACATGTGGTATTTCTCTTTCTGTGCGTGACTTGTTTCACTTAATATAATTTTCTCTAAGTCCATCCTTGTTGTTGTGAATGGTAGTATTCCGTTCTTTTTTATAGCAGAGTCATATTCCATTGTATAGATATAGCACAGTTTCCTTATCCAGTCATCAGATGATGGATATTTGGGCTGGTTCCAACTTTTGGCTATTGTAAGTAGAGTTGCAATAAACATTGGAGTACAGGTATCCCTTCAGCATGATGATTTCTATTCCTCTGGGTATATTCCCAACAGTGGAATAGCTGGGTCATATGGTAGATCTATCTGTAATTGTTTGAGGAACCTCCATACCATTTTCCATAAAGCCTGCGCCATTTTGCAGCCCCACCAACAGTGTATAAGAGTTCCTTTTCCTTCGCAACCTCTCCAGCATTTATCATTCTCAGTCTTTTGGATGTTAGCCATCCTAACTGGAGTGAGATGGTATCTCAAAGTGGCCTTGATTTGCATTTCCCTGATGAGTGAGGTTGAGCATTTTCTCATGTGTCTGTTGGCCATTCATATATTTTCCTTTGAGAAATGCCTATTCAGCTCCTTTGCCCATTTTTTAATTGGGTTATTTGGGTTTTTTGCTCTAAAATTGTTTGAGTTCCTTATATATTCTGGATATTAATCCCTTGTCAGATGTATATTTTGCAAATATTTTCTTCTACTCTCTTGGTTGTCTTTTTACTCTGCTGATTGTTTCTTTTGCTATGCAGAATCTTTTTAGTTTCATATAATCCCATTTGTTTATTTTTCCTATAGTTGCCTGTGCTTTTTGGGTCCCATTCATGAAGTCTGTACCCACTAATCAGTATCATTTCTATACTCCAATAGTGAACATGCAGAAAAATAAATCAAGAAAGCTAGCCCATTTACAATAGCCAACAAAAAAATAATATACTTAGGAATAAAGCTGACCAAGGATGTAAAAAATCTCTATGCAGAGAACTACAAACTGCTGTTGAGAGAAATTAAAGAGGACACAAGAAGATGGAAGGATATCCCTTGCTCTTGGATTGGAAGAATTAACATTGTGAAAATGTCCATGTTACCCAAAGTGATCTATAGATTCAATGCAATCCCCATCAAAATTCCAATGATGTTCTTCTCTGAGGTGGAAAAAGCTATCCAGACATTTATATGGAACAACAAAAGACCACACATAGCCAAAGCAATCCTGAGCAAAATAAATAAATAAAGCTGGAGGCATAACACTACCTGACTTTAAACTATATTGCAAAGCTATAATAACCAAAACAGCATAGTACTGACATAAAAAATAGACACACGGATCAATGGAATAAAATAGACAACCCAGAAATCAATCCATATGCCTACAGCCATCTGATCTCTGACAAAGGCAGGAAATCTACATACTGGGGAAGAGACTGCCTTTTCAACAAGTAGTGCTGGGAAAATTGGATACTCCTATGCAGGAGAATGAAACTAGACCTGTATCTTTCACCATATATCAAAATCAACTCAAAATGGATTAAAGAACTAAATATACATCCTGAAACAATAAAACTCCTTAAGTAAAATCTAGATTCTTTTTAATCAGTCATTGCACACACACAGTCAATATTTTCCACACCCAACAGAATTCAGGTCTCTCAATTTCCACTAGTTTATTGCCTAAATTCATTACTGATCCCAAAATTATCATCTTCTTAGTATTCTGGCATTTGAATATAAAAAGGATTTTATATTCAAAAGAAAATCTTCTTGTAAATCAACCAATATTTACTAAAAGTATACTTAGAGCAAAGCATTGCAATAAATCCTGTGAAGGAATATGAAAAATATCTTCTGCTCCCAAAGAATTTAGGTTATCAACATATACACATGAAAAGATAGACTCTAATGAAATAGATTTTTAAAAAGTTCATTACAATAAAAACTTTTAGAGAGGGAGCACTAGACAATGAGTTAGATGACCTATTAAGTGGCCCTTCTAAGCCACTTGACACTAACACATCAGGTATCCTCTCTCTTAGCCTCTGTCATTTCATATGTAAGGTTGATAGAATACCTTCCTGACTCTCACAGATTTATAAAATTCCTACTCTGCACCAGGCACTTTATTAGGTCTTAATCCAGCCCGTTGAGGAAATTAACTGTAAGTGAACATACATGCAAACAAATACTTGATACATTGTGTTTAGCACTATCATTGATCATACAATACTAGAATAAAAGCGAAGAGTTATTTTTTCATCCAAAATTGTGGAAATTTTCTCTATTCCTGGTGGGATACAATATAAAGTATTCAGCACCACATTCAAAGTATTCTTGCCAAATGAATTTAACTAAAATCTAATCAAGGCTTTAGATCTAAATTCCAGCTTACTGGAAATGAGAGAGACTGAAGAACAAGTTAAATGACACCACAAGCAAGAAGTCAGAAAAGCCCAGAAGGTGGGGCATTTTAAAAGACAGCTAGCATTCACTCTTCATCAAGTCAATGTCTCTAAAAATCAAAAAGGAAACAGAACTCTTTTTTTAATCCTAAAATATTTATCTATTTATTTTTGATTATACATATTTATGTGATAGAGTTGACTCAGTATTTGTATACCATATGTGCTGATCTAATCAATATTATTAGCATGTTCATCATTACAAATCATAATTACTCTTTGTATCCCTTGCCTAATTACTCCCTAACCCTTCACCCCCTCACCCCCTCCTCCTTTCCCACCTCTAGTAACTATAGGTCTATTCTCTCCTTCTGAAATTTCAATGTTTTATTGTGGTCTTTCTTTCTTTCTTTCTTTCTTTCTTTCTTTCTTTCTTTCTTTCTTTCTTTCTTTCTTTCCTTCCTTCCTTCCTTCCTTCCTTCCTTCCTTCCTTCCTTCCTTCCTTCTTTCCTTCCTTCTTAGCTCCCACTTATGAGTAAGAACATGCAGTATTTCTCTTTCTGTGCCTGGCTTGTTTCACTGAACATAATTTTCTTCAAACTCATCCATGTTGCTGCAAATGGCAGAATTTCATTCTTTTTTATGACTGAATAGTGTTCCATTGGGTATATGTTCCACATTTTCCTTATCCAACTGTTTGTCAATAGACATCTAGGTTGGTTCCAACTATGGCTATTGTAACCAAGTGCAGATATCCCTTTCACATGATGATTTCCATTCCTTTGAGTATGTATCCAGTAGTGGTATTGCTGGATCATATGGTATTTCTACCCATAGTTGTTTGAGAAACCTCCATACTGTTTTCTGTAATGGCTGTACTAACTTACAATCCCACTGACAGTGTAGAAGAGTTCACTTTTCTCCACATCCTCACCAGCATTTGTTATTCTCAGTGTTTTTGATAATAGCCAGTCTAACTGGTTTGATATCTAACTGATATCTCAAAGTGGCTTTGATTTACATTTCCTTGATGATTAGTGATGTTAAGCATTTTTTTGTGTACCTGTTGGTCATTTGTATGTCTTCCTTTGAGAAATGTCTATTTAGCTCCTTTGTCCATTTTTTAATTGGATTGTTTTTTACAGTGAAGTTGAGTTCTTTGTATATTTTGGATATTAATTTTTTGTCAGATGTATAGTTTGCAAATATTTTCTCCCATTCTGTATGTTGCCTATTCACTCTGTTGATTGTTTCCTTTGCTGTACAGAAGCTTTTTAGTTTGATATAATCCCATTGAAACAGAACTCTTTTAGATTAAAGAGATTTAAAACAAATAACAAGCAAGTATAATACATGGTCCTCGATTATGTCCTGGTTTGTACAAACCATCTATAAATATAAGGACAATAGAGGAAATTTGAAGATGGACTGGGTATTAGAAGATATTAGAAAAATATTATTCATCTTTTATAATTGTTAATGGTATTGTAGTTAGGTTGGAAATATCCTAATTGTTTATAATAATGAGTTGGTGAAAAGTCATGATGTCTTATTTTACTTTAAAATAAATACAGCAGCAAAAAATGAACAAAGAGAACACAGCAAATAAGTTAACATTGATAAAATGATGTGATAAATATATGGGTGTTTAGTTATGCTATTCTTTCTAATTTTCTATGTGTCTGAAAATTTTCGTAATATAGAGTGAAAAATAAAATATAAAAAGTAAATGAGATAATGTATGGGAAATCACTTTGTAAACTCTAAAAGGATAGACAAAAAAGAGATAACAAAGTGTTGGAGAAAGAAAGAAATGGTGCTTTTTCAAGCATGTGTACTATTTTGGACCACACTGCTGGAAGTCAGGCCTGGCCACAACAGAGAGGCCACCAAATGCCTCTAGAAATAGAAACCAGGAGCACCATTATAGATTACCAGATCCTGATCTTTTAACATCTCCCCTCAGACCAAGGTGACCTTTACCAAAATTGAAGACAGATGTCTTCTTGCTGGGAAAAGCAGAATAGAGCAACTTGAACTTATCCAAGGAGAACCAGAAAACCAATAACCCTACAATATTAGAGTACCTAGTGGACTATCCTTTTTGCAGAACAAGAGGATTTGGCTCCAGAAGCAGAGATCTGAAGCCATGGATGACCGCCCTTCTTGTTGTGCTGTTACTGTCCGTGGTGGTGGTAACCATCGCTCTTCTGGCTCACTTCTTAATCCCTGGTAGGTAAAAGGAGTGATCATGCTTAGTTTGATTTCATTTTTCTGCAAAGCTTCATTTGCATATGTAAATGTAATTTAACCCAAAAATATGTGTACTTTTACCTTTGAATGTCCACATCAGAATATTTTAAAATTTATTCAGTCATTTCATCAAGAAATAATTACTGAATGCCTATTATATACAATACTTTTCTGGGTACTCAGGATACAGTATTAAGCAAAGAAGACAAATTTCTTATCTCCTTGAAGTTCCCAATCCTTTATTCTTTTGAGAATCTTGACAAAAGATCGAAAATAATAATTGTCTGAAATGTACTATTAGTCATAATTAACAACTTTCATTATTCATTACATATTGAAGTGAAAATTGTGATAAATTAGTTATTAAAACTGGGTCTTTTATTCATGACCATCATTTCTGTCCACCAACATTTCTAGGGCAAAAGAAAATCACATGTCTAAAGAAATAATGAGTTTCAAAATGACTGATAAACTATAGGTATGACACTATTATCATTTATTTTTAAAGAGAAAAAATTACTTTTCCCAAAACAATATTCAGGAATTGTTTTTATTGCCTAATATATTCATAATCACACAATGCATTTCAGAATTCTCTCTTTTTATATTGCATCTCTCTGTGCAGAGTACAAATCATTTACTTATTTGACAAATCTTCACAATGTCACTCTCACATGGATGTATGTGATAAAATGACTAACTCAGGCTGCTAACTCGAATGGTCTTATCTGTTGTCACCTTCCATAGACTTGATGGGGGAGTGAAGATTCTATTAGGAGCTTTAAAGGGCTTAAGATCATAGTCCTAGTCTGCATATGACAACATCAGTTGTAGTATATGCCAATGGCAAAAGATTCTCAGGTCAGTGAATACAGTTGCACAAAAACCCCTTTAAAATGAGATTAAGGTTTGATAACAGTATGGATAATACAGATAAGCAATTGAGGGACCAAAAAGCGTCAGAGGTGTTCCGCTTAGGAACTACGCAGTTCTGAGCTCCCTCTTTCTCTCTTAGGTCCACAGTTGGGAAACCCATTGCTTCCTCCCTGAGTCAGCCTTCCAAAACATGATGATTGTTTTGTGGTTGCTCCATTCTCTACTGTTAACTCTGTGTAGCTTTCTTTCCCCCTCTGAGCCGTATTCCTAAGATTACCAAATTCTCAGGAGTCTCCACTGCTAACTTTTTTCCTATCTTTCCTGATAGCCAGCCAGATACCTTGTTGACTTGTCTCTGTGGCATGCTATTCACACCTTCAACCCCAGGCAGCTTTTCCCCTAGACTTTCTTTCATGGTTTTTAGTGTATCTTACTTTCTCATTACAAATAAAAATTTACGAGGACGTATATTTACCTCTCCTTCCAGTAGAGTATATGGTGGTAAACATTTCAACTCAGCAAGGGGCAATGTAGTAATGAAATGTTTAAGCTCTAGGACTGGAGTGTCTGGGTTTAAAACTTGGATAGGTTACCTATTTGTTGTATAACATAGAGAAAGTTAGTTAACACCTCTGTGCCTTACTTTCCTCATCTGTACAATGGAGGCAAGGCCAGTCTAGGAGAACTTTTGTGAGGGTCAAATGGGTTAATGTATATAAACTGCATAGAACAGTTCCCGGTATATAGTAGGCACTCAATAAATGCCAGCTACTATTATAAATGTAAAACATTTGTTATTTTTTTATAAAATTCAATTAGATAGAAGCTCAGTGATATAGTCAAGACTTCATATTAACTCCATTATAACTAGGTCTTAGATCCTGAAATCTTTTTCCATATCAATTTCCTACTTTTCATTTTTCATCACAGGCCAGAAAATGGAGTATTATCATGGCACCTTCAAAATTTCAGATGTACGAATCAATAGCAATTCTGGACAAAACAGCACATATCAACTTAAGGGCTTAAGGGAGATAAGTGAAAATTTGGTAAGTTGGCAAATTTATTTTTATTGTACAATAATGCAGGTGGAAGGGATTTTCTGGATCATTACTCTCATTTCTAAAAACATGGTTTTCGGACCACCTAGATTGGAATCATCTTGCAGATTCCTAGACTCCACTCCAGACCTGCTTAAACAGTTTCTGATGGAATGGGTTGGTGGGAAAAGGGGAGTAAGAAAATCTGCCTAACAACTGAATGTTTCTGATAAGCCACTCTTTCTAACTCAAACATCTCATTTAAAGGTGAGAGAACTGAGGCCATGATACCTTAGCCGATTGCTCCCCCAATTTCAGAACAATATTTCCCTAATGGAAAAGCCTAACCATACCAGAACTGGTTATTTATAAGACCACATGCTTTTTTTTAAGACCACATTTTAAGATTTTGAGTATTTTTAGAGTATGTGAGAAAAGAACGACCAAAAATGTTATTTTTATCTTGCAAATGTATTAATAAAAACAAAAACTTCAGACCTATTATATAATATTCAAGTTAAAATGCTAACAATTTTGTTCAAGCTAAAATACAAGACTGCCCCCCTCAGTTGTGTAATAGTTCTGCCCATAAACTCTCATTCAAAAACTAAGTTCAGATTAACTTCCCTGACAAGGAAGCACAGAGGTATGGTTATTTTAAAATGGAAAAACTGACAGGTGCATTGGTTTATTTTATTTTATTTTTTTCCTTTAAATTTTTATTTTGTCAATATACAATGTGGTTGATTATTATGGCCCGTCACCGACACCTCCCTCCCTCCTCCCTCTCCCCCCTCCCACCCAGTAATGTCCTTTCCGTTTGCTTGTTGTAACAACTTCAAAAAAAAATTGTAGTTGTTATATCTTCCCCACCCCCCGGTTATTTTTTGTGTGTGTGAGTGAATTTATTTATTTATTTTTAGCTCCCACCAATAAGTGAGAACATGTGGTATTTCTCTTCTGTGCCTGACTTGTTTCACTTAATATAATTCTCTCAAGGTCCATCCATGTTGTTGCAAATGGCAGTATTTCATTCATTTTTATAGCTGAGTAGTATTCCATTGTGTAGATATACCATATTTTCCATATCCACTCATCCGATGATGGACATTTGGGCTGATTCCAGCTCTTGGCTATTGTAAAGAGTGCTTGCATTGGTTTATTTTAGTCAAAGAACCATTTTTTTCCAAACCATTATTTTTTTCTCAAATCAATTATCATTTTTTCATGTCACCATTTGCTTTTATACATAGCATACTCAATTGCAATATATAGATGGTGTTTATAATCTATATTTTTAATTAACATTAAATCATTTACATTTTATCTTGCATTCTCATCCATCCCAACAAATAATTAATGTTTACAGATGGATATGCACCCTCTCATTCTTTAATATTCAGAGAATCTTAGAAAATAGCATATGCAGTCAATTCTTGAGGAATGCCAGAATGAACCTGGAGCCTGCAGATATACCCCAATATCTCCTCTACCTTGACCTTAAGTGACTCCACATAACCTCCTCAAAGTAAAAAAAAAAAAATCTAAACCTGTCTTAGTTAAAAAGATAAACAAATTCTTTGAACAATGAAAAATGTTAAAATTTATTGTGAAGGTTGAATTCTGATAACATTATTGTTGTTTTAAGTTAAATAAGAAATTCTTTCTTTACCTAAGTAAATGGACAGGAATGCAATCGGTCTTAAAAGAAGTGAGAAAAATGCAGAGGTGCATCTGTAGCAGAAACTGTTTGAAAGTGGGCTTTTGGGCCGGCCCGGTGGCGCACTGCTACAGTGCGCCGCTTGGGAGCGTGGCGGCGCTCCTGCCGAGGGTTCGGATCCCACATACAGACTGGTTCCCGCTCACTGGCTGAGCGAGGTGCGGGCGCAACACCAAGGGTTGCGATCCGTTGCCTGACACGAAAAACAAAAAAGAAAGTGGGCTTTTAAGTTTTAAGTTTCAGTTAAGCATGTGTTTCTAGGAGTGAAGGAACCTCTGATACAGAGGCTGAGTTAATCAGTGACACATTATCATCATGGGTCAAGGTCTTTCTCTGGTTGTCATTGTTTATTTATTCTCCTTTATACTCATAACATTAGCCCATACCCCACTGCCTTCAGGCAACCATTCTTTTTCATGCATATTATTTTGTTTGTATTTACTACTTCAAAAATATAGTTTGTTGTTTTACGTACACAAGCTTATGACTTATCTTTTGTGTTATAAATCTCTTTTGTTTCATCCTTTTTTACTCAGAACTTAAAGATCTGTCCATTTTGCTAAATGCACATCTAATTCATTGCTATTAAATGCTACATGATGATTCATAGTGTATATGTACCATGTTTTACCTGCGTACCAGCCAGTCACCCCAATAAATGCTACACTAAACAGATTCCTACTTTTCCCCTGATGAACCCATACAAATACTTCTGGGAGCAGAATTACTGTGTCACTGGGCATACATATACTTAATTTGACTAATTGGTATAGGATTGCTATTTCGAATGGCTGAATCAGTGTGCACTCCTATCGGAGTGCATGAGGGTTCCTATGTCCCCACATCTTTGCCAGCATATGGTGTCTTAGTCTGTTAAGGATGCTATAACAAAAATACCATAGACTGGGTGGTTTAAACAGCAAACATTAATTTCTCACAGTTCTGTAGGCTTGCAAGTCCAAGATCAAGGCACAGCAGATTCCATGTCTGGTGAGGGCCTGCTTCCTGGCTCATATAAGACCATCTTCTTGCTGTGTCCTCAGATGACAGACATCATGAGAGAACTCTCTTTTATAAAGATTCTAATCTCTTTCATGAAGCCTCCACCCTCATGACCTAATATACCTCCCAAAGTCTCCATCTCCTAATACTATCATCTTGGGGTTAGGATCTCAAAATATGAATTTGGGGAAAACACAAACATTCAGTCCACAGCCCTTGGTATTATTTCACTTTCTAAGTTTTGCCAGCCTAATAGACATAAAGTAGTATCTTATCCATGATTTAATTTGCACTTTTCTAGTTACAAATGTGTTTTTGCATCATTACATATACTTATTAGCCTTTTGAGATTTCATTTCTATAAATTTCTTGTACATATTCTTTTTCTGTTTTTCTATGAAGAGTTGCTTTTTTATTTTATTTTTATTGCTTTACAGGAACTCCTTATGTTTTCAAGATATTAATATGTATTGGTTGTAGACATTGTACTTAGCTATTCCGTCTTCTATTAATTTTGACCATGTTGTCCTTCATAAAACAGAAATTCATAATTTTCAAGTAATCATATTCATCAATTTCCTTTGCTGTATGATAGTGTTTTGAAGGGTTTTTTTTAAGTCCTTCTCTCTATCTAAGTCACAAAAATATTTTACTTCTATTAATTTTATAGTTTTACCTATTACATGAGGTCTTTAATGCATTTGGAATCCACCTTTGAACGTGATGCTAGGCAAGGATCCAGTGTTTATACTCCATATAGTTAGCTGGGGTTTTTTTTAATATAACCAACTAGACAATTGGAGCTTTTCCCAATATATGGTGTGAGTATTGAACTTATTGCATTTCTCAGCACCTGCATCTTGCAGAAGAGGAAACCTGATCTGTCTCCTCAAATTGCTCCCGATCACTTTGGTGAGATATGAGTAATGCATGAAATTGAACAGCATGACATGATATAATTAAGGACTAAATTGTATGTTGAGGACAGTAAGTATGGAAGAACTTCAAATAAAATGAAGATCAACAAGGGTTCCCATGGTCAGGAAAGGCTTTGTATTATTTTACCCCTGTTTAAATGAAGCAGGCATTCTTCACTCTCCATCTCCCACCAAATTAGCTTTGGAAGAATTACAGGAAGGGTTCGTGCCTCTTCCTGAGCCACTCCTGTTTATCATTGCCAAGTCCCAGTGAAAAACCAGATTCTTCTCTCCGTTCTCTATGGGTGCTAATTAGACAGAAGAAAGACAGGTTGTAGGTCCTGTTCTTCCTCATAACTTGGGCTTAACAGATTTGAATGCAAACGGAGATGCAAAAGTAAAATGAGTTTATGCTCAGATACTGCTGAAACTCTTCCCAGTTCCCTGAGGCAGTGGGACAGATCTCATTTTTCATATCATCCTTCAGAGAAGATTCCAGTAACCATACACCTATAATTCATGATACTCCCAAATAGGTAGATCACTTTTATTATTATTCAGATTTTATAAATTTGACTAGAATCACTGACTGAGGAAGTGCTTCACCTGGAGAATACATTTTAGAAATAACAAAAATATTTTAAATCCCAAAGATCGTTACAAATATGAAAGTTCTAAATTTGTAATACCATAATAGTAATAGCTAACGTATATTGAATGCCAAGCACGACACTAAGCACCTTATATGTATTATTTTAGTTAATCCTCAATAACAACCTTATGAGGTAGGTGCAATTACTATCCCAGTTTTACAGATGAGAAAATCAAGGTACAAAAAGGTTAATTTGCTCAAGGTCACAGAGCTAGTAAATGATACAGTTAGCATTTGAATGATAACATTCTGATTTTAGCATCTCTGTTTTTAATAAACTTCTGTCCCCCATAACGCTTGTCATCCAAAGGAATCAACTATGTGATTTTACTTTTCATCTACTATCTCACAAAATACCAGAAGTCAAGTATTTATCCCTGGTACATTATTCTCTTTCAATTTATACTATTAACATGGGCCAGTGACCCCCATCTACCTTAACAGTGGTACCAGCTGGGAATTTACTAAGAGTTTTCTCCCCCCACTAAAAAAACACTGCTCCTGTGCCCAAGGCATTCTAAATTTTATCTTCTTTGTATCAGAAACACCAGAAACAAGACCCAAAATAATCCTCAAAATATTCTTGAGACTATTTGTCTAAACTTGTAGAGACAAAGAATTTGGAAACAGGAAGTTATGCAAAGAGATAAATGTAGTTTAGGAACACTCTCGAAGAAAGTTAGAAGGCAATCACAAGTGATTTGGCTCTGATGGACTC